TCTTGGATTTATTCCTAAGTAAATTTCTCTCTATACAAGTCTGAATGGATGACAAAGCAAGAGAGGAGTTTTTGTTTTGTTTTGTTTTAGAGACAGAGTTTCACTTTTCTTGCCCAGGCTGGAGTGCAATGGTGTGATCTTGGCTCACCACAACCTCTGCTTCCCAGGTTCAAGCAATTCTCCTGCCTCAGCCTCCTGAGTAGCTGGGATTACAAGCACGTGCCACCATGCCCAGTTAATTTTGTATTTTTAGTGGAGATGGGGTTTCTCCATGTTGGTCAGGCTGGTCTCCAACTCCCAATCTCAGGTGATCTGCCCACCTCGGCCTCCCAAAGTGCTGGAATTACAGGTGTGAGCCACTGCGCCCACCCGGGAGTTGTTCTTTTTGTTCCTTGAATTTCCTCCCCCATCTCCACTTCACAATGGCTTTGTGTCTACATGATGTTTTTATTTTATTTTATTTTATTTTTGAGACAGAGTCTCACTCTGTCAGCCAGGCTGGAGTGCAGTGATGTCATCTCCGCTCACTGCAACCTCCGCCTCCCAGGTTCAAGCAAGCTTCCCCAGTAGCTGGGATTACAGGCACCCACCATGACACACGGCTAATTTTTGTATTTTTAGTGGAGACAGGGTTTCACCATGTTGGTGAGGCTTATCTCAAACTGCTGACCTTCAGTGATCCACTCACCTTGGCTTCTCAAAGTGCTGGGATTTACAGACCACTGTGCCTGGCCTACATGATATTTTGATACCCTTATGTTCTGTTTCCAAATACTACTATGCATTTCACTGCAGACATGAGGGACTCCTGTTATTAAAGGGTATGTATTTAAAATGAGCCCACTTAGAAATTATAATAATAAAACTAACAACTAGCACTTATTGTACATTAATTCATATTATTTTGGTGTTATTTATTTATTTTGAGATGGAGTTTCGCTCTTGTTACCCAGGCTGGAGTGCAATGGTGCGATCTCGGCTCACCGCAACCTCCGCCTCCTGGGTTCAGGCAATTCTCCTGCCTCAGCCTCCCGAGTAGCTGGGATTATAGGCACGTGCCACCGTGCCCAGCTAATTTTTTGTATTTTTAGTAGAGATGGGGTTTCACCATGTTGACCAGGATGGTCTCGATCTCTTGACGTCGTGATCCACCCACCTCAGCCTCCCAAAGTGCTGGGATTACAGGCGTGAGCCGCCGTACCCGGCCTGGTGTTATTTATTTATTTATTTAATTTTGAGACAGAGTCTTGCTCTGTTGCCAGGCTGGAGTGCAGTGACAGGATCTTGGCACGATCTCGGCTCACCGCAACCTCCACCTTCCAGGTTCAAGCAATTCTCTTGCCTCAGCCTCCTGAATAACTGGGATTACATGAAAACACCACCACACCTGGCTAACTTTTTTGTATTTTTAGTAGAGACGGGGTTTCACCATGTTGGCCAGGCTGGTCTTGAACTCCTTACCTCAGGTGATCCACCTGCCTTGGCCTCCCAAAGTGCTGGGATTACAGACAGGAGCCACTGCATCCAGCCTGGTTTTATTCATTTATAATTTCATTTAATTATCCGAAGAACCTTATTGTCTATTACAATTATTCTCACTTTATAGATGAGAAAGCCAAGAGTCAGAAAAAGTTAGGTAACTTGCCAAACTTCACACACCTAGACAGTTGCAGAACCAGAATTCAAACCCAGTTCCATCTGCCTCCAGAGTCGTTTCCAACACTGCTCTACTTTCTGTTTCAGTAAGTTTAGAAGTCAGGGAACTGGAAGGAACAACTAAAAAATAAACCTAACTTAATGCCAATAGAATTGCTGTCAAGACACATCTCATTCCTACTCCAGGTTTAATGTTAATTTGTGTATCTTGACTAAGAGTGCCTATTATAAAGTTATTCGCTCAAGGTTATCCTCCTCCTACCCTGCCCCACCATCAGATGATTTTTATTTATAGCTATGTTTAAACATTGGGCAACACTCAGACTTGCTGTATACTGAATTTGCCATCTGAGCAAAGATTCTTTCTCAAAGCATATTTGCTTTATTTACTCTCTGGTGTTTGCCAAGAAATTAAAAAGACAATTCTTTTTGGTTTGCTTTAAAATTTTTATTCCAAATATTCTTCAACTCTAGAATTCACTCAGTGAGGTCAAACAAGTCAAGACCAGATAAGTTAAACTGAATTTTCATTTTCATGTCAATTAGATATTTTGAGTTCTATGAAATACACAAACATTCTGGATTTCTTCTAAAGAAAAAGATATCCTGATTAGTTCTGTATTGTTTATAATCATGTATGCTTTGCTTCACTGTCTGATGCTAAGAGCTTCCTAGAATTCGCCGGGCATGGTGGCTCACACCTGTAATCCCAGCATTTTGGGAGGCTGGGGCAGGTGGATCATGAGGTCAGGAGTTTGAGACCAGCCTGGCCAACATAGTGAAACCCCATCTCTACCAAAAATAAAGAAATTAACCGAGCATGGAGGTGCACACCTATACTCCCAGCTATTTGGGAGGCTGAGGCAGGAGAATCACTTGAAACCCAGAGGCAAAGGTCGTGGTAGGCGGAGATCATGCCACTGCACTCCAGCCTGGGAAGAGTGAGACTCTGCCTCAAAAAAAAAAAAAAAAAGAAAAAAGCTTCCTAAAATACATTCCTGAAGAAGTTAAGTCATGGCATTTAATTATTTGACAGGATGTTTTAAGTACATAAAATTATTATATGTTCCCTCCATTTTGTGATGGTGGTGAGCCAAGTAAACTGCATCAAGAGAAAATAAATAACACCTACACTAATGCTACCAACAAGGAGCTCACAGTACTTTGGAAAAACTCATTATAATTTTAGCATATAGTGGGTGTTCCATACTTCATCATCTACCAAACTAACATCACCACCACCTTTCCAGGTAAGATAATCTAGGCAAAGAGAAATTATGTTGATTCTGTTCCATATGTCAGATCTTGGAACTGACAGCTGCATGACTATGACTGAGAACTTGTACTTGGGAGTATGCAGTTTTAAATCCTGACCACCACATTGGGCAAGTCCCTTCTCTTTCTTGAGTGCTTGTCTACTTCTTGCCCTATCAGACAGGACCAATTCCCACATAGGTTCATGACAACGGTAAAGAATAAGATTAGGCTGGACGCGGTGGCTCAAGCCTGTAATGCCAGCACTTTGGGAGGCCAAGGCGGGCAGATCATGAGGTCAGGAGTTCAAAACCAGCCTCACCAACATGGTGAAACCCCCATGTCTACTAAAAATACAAAATAAGCTGGGCACGGTGGCACATATCTGAAGTCCCAGCTACTCAGGAGGCTGAGGCAGGAGAATTGCCTGAACCCAAGAGGTGGAGGTTGCAGTGAGCCGATATCGCACCATTGCACTCCAGCCTGGGTAACAAGAGCGAAATTCCATCTCAAAAAAAAAAAAAAAAGATTAGCATACTGGATATGGCTTTATAATTATGGGCACCAAGTGATGATTTTTCCTCATTCATTACTTGGTCTTAACTCATACCCTTCTATCATTTGGGGATGTTAACTGCAAAACAAGGACAGAATTTGGGCTAGAGTCTTTTCCCAGTCTGGTCAATTCAGTATGTGAGAAGACTTCTGGAAGAGTAGATCTGAGGTAGTTTCTTTTCTGCACACTAAGGGGAGGTATGAAGGGAAAGCAGAATTAACAATTTCCAGCCCAGGAGGCCAAGCCAGTTGGCCTCGCCAAACAGGTTGTCTTGGATAAAGGAGGATTTTCAGTCTTGCTATTGGCTGCTGGGGCCTCCAGTGCCTTCTTCAGCCTGTTGGTGGGGATGATGCCCTCAGAGCCGCAGAGTGAGCACTCTCCTTCCGAGCACTGCTGAGCACTTGGTGTGGAAGAGTTGGCTGATACTGAGGGTGGGGCGCCTGGAAAAGGCGACCAGGTTCAGCTCTTGCCTTTCCCTTTATGGCTAAATGTTCTTTGGAAAGCTTCTATATCTGTCAAATTCGGGGGCATCATGATCTCTGTCTATCCCAAACCATATTTAGCCCATACTGTTGAGAATACAAGCTCCAGGGCTGGTCATCCGTCTGGATTACCCCTCTGGATCTGGCACATAGTTGGCGCTCTATGGAACCAGATGTGTATGTAAAAGCAGGGACAATGGAATGTGAAAACGTTTTGCAAACTCCAAAGCGATTCACAACCAGACAGAGATTCAATCCCAGGGTATGCAAGCTCTCTTTAAAGCGCGGATCACATCTGCTTCTAACGCCATCGGGACGCGGTCAGGACAGGTGCATCCATCTTCTATGGGATTCTCCTCTAGAAAGTAGGCCAGGGAGGGCAGGGGCTGAGGGTCTCATTCCCAAGGGGAATCAAACTTGGAGGAAAGCAACCATCGGCGAGGAGCCGTGCACCTGGAACCAAGCCGCGGTTTGAGGCTCAAAGAAAAGCCCAAACCTCGCCATCGCCATCGCGCCCGACGAGACACCTAGGTCAGGGGACTGGTGTGTGCCGGGGAAGTCAGGTGCACTGCGCGGCACTCCCACGGTAGGCACTCGCTCCTCCACCTACGAGTGACCTAATTACACCAACCGCGCCCAGAGGTGGGGGTGGTTATTCCAACCAGGCGGCCACTCGCTGCCCATTCCTGCCCCCGAGATGCGGGAAACCCACACAATTCCAGCGCTGTTGCACCCCGGAGGAGCCATGGGGTCGCAATTCTCGCGACTGCCGGGCCCCAGACGAGGAGCTGAATTCATCACCAGAACAGCCTTCCCAGGGGAACCAGTTACAGACAGACAGTAACCCCCACTTCCATCCGGTCTGCGTCTGCGCGTGGCCCAATCTCTCACCTCTCGGGGCGTAGCGCTAAGGGATTAGTCCGGTTCGCCGCTGTGCGCATTGCGCACGCTCAAACTCCATCCTTCCCTTCCCCCACCACCCGCCCTCCGGGAGCCACGCCCTAAAAGCGAAGGCGACTGTTACCAGCCGGCTAAGTCGCGCCTGCGCTTTGACCCCCAGTTAGCGCCCCCAACTCCGGTAGTGCGGCCGCCGGGGCTGGGCATCGCAGTTGCGCAGCTCGCTCCCGGTCCCTTTTCCCGTCCGCTCCCCGCCACCTCCTAACGCCGGCGTGACGTCACCACGCCAGGCGGCCGCCATTACAGAGAGCCGATCTCTGGTGCCGGAGCGAGCGGAGGAGGAGGCGCAACGGCCGACGGCCGAGTATTGCGGTGAGAGCCAGCGGGCCAGCGCCAGCCTCAGCAGCCGCCAGAAGTACACGAGGAGCCGGCGGCGGCGTGTGCGTGTGGCCCGTGTGCGGGCGGCGGCGCGGGAGCAGCGCGGAGCCACAGCCGGCTGGGGCGGGAGGCATCATGGACGAGAAGGTGTTCACCAAGGAGCTGGACCAGTGGATCGAGCAGCTGAACGAGTGCAAGCAGCTGTCCGAGTCCCAGGTCAAGAGCCTCTGCGAGAAGGTGAGGTGTAGTCTGGGTTCAGGCAGCAGCCGTGGGGCAGACCCCGCCGAAGAAAGGGAGGCCGTGAGGAGGGTGCAACATGGCGGAGGCCGCCGGCCCGGGCCCCCCGAGTCACCGAGACCGGCGCCCAGCCCGGCCGGCGGCGGCACCCGAACGACCCGGCGCCCCCTGCCTCCCGCGCAGGGATTGGTTGTCGCCGCCAACGCCGCCTAAAATGGCGCCGTTCACCCGGGTCTTGGGCTTTTGAGTCTCCCGGCCTTGGCGCCAGACGAAGTGGCTGGGGTGGGGGAGCGGAGACCCTGTGGGTCAGCATCAGGGACGGTTTTGAGGGTGAGCGGGCTTAGATTCTGCGGCCTGGGAATGGGACCTAGACTTCTCCGGTGGGCTAAGAGGCTTTCCACTTGTACCCAAGGCCTAGTTAGGTCCAAAGCTGTCCAGAGGTACTGTCCCCAAAGGCGGTCTTGTTAGGCCATATCCCAGAACATATGTAAAGGTCACACATCTTTAGTACCCCTGGGTGGTTTGTATTAAACTCATCAAGCGGTCTTCTCCAGAAACCAAAGTGAGGGTGTCTTTAAGAATTTTAAAATTATTCCCTTAACCTAATTTCTACGAAGGTCATGGTAGTTGGAGGAGTGTAACTTATTTTTCATAGTTGGAAGAAATGGGGAATTTGGTAAGTCATAATACATGAGGAGCTTTTGGACTGGAAATCAAGTGTCAGTTGAATATGATTTATTTGCTGACTCAAAGCCTTCTCTAAGCTTAACACACTTGGCATTTTGCCATTTATTTTAAAAATCAACAAAATGGAAGAGCGGTAAATTTTGTATCTTCTCTTTGTTGCAAAAGTTAACTTGATAGAATTTTGTGGTTGCAAGTAGTAGTATTAGTAATAACTGTCGACTAAGATTGTATTCCAAACATTGTGCTTAGTGTTTAAATAATGTCTCACATGCATTGAAAATAGAATGTTGTAGTCCACTTAATAACACTTAAATTTTATATTTTGTATTAGCTAATTCTGTTTTGTTTTCCCCTGGGATTGGGGAAACAGGTAGCCAATTTAGTTATTAGCTGTATGTTGCATTTTTAAATTCTTGTAACTCAGTTTTCTAGAGTACACAAAAATGCTGATCTCTGCTGTGAACACTTTTAAACTTCTCTTTTCAAAAATAACTTTGCAGTATGTCACTTTAGTACAGAATAGTGGAGTATCATACTATCATTTTGTATTAGTGAAAAGAATTAATGGAGAACTATTATCCTGATTTGTTTGTGGTGTGATGTGAAAATTAGATTCATGAGTTTGGTGTATGTGTCCATGTTTTAGAAACCATGTTATGAACAATTGGAATTTAAGTACGTCGGATTTAGATTTATTTCTCCCAAGCATGAACAAAACTACTACTAGTTGATGAGGTAGCACATCATCTTGGAGATGTATTTTAATGGTAGCAAGGTATTGAATCTCCTGTTTCTTTACCAACCTCACATCAAATGAGGTTGGTATTTATTTTAAAGGTTTAAAATTGGCCTGAGATTATACAGTCAATTCCTTTTTAAATTAGTAGTGTGTTTAATATTGAGCACCTATTGAAGCTCCAAGATTGCATACTCTTTTGAGCGGAATGAAAATAAATGAAGACTAAGTATGCTTATTGTTGAGGAACTATGAATCTAGTTGGAAGGAAAAGCATGGTATGGAAATGTGTGGGAGATAGAGCATGGAAGTAGAGGGTTTGTGTTGGAAACTATGGAAGATAATAAGATAATACTGGATGCTAAAGTGGGGTGGGTGAAGCTAATGCATCGTTATTACTTTCCACATCTTTGTAAAACTAACATATAGTGAAGTAAATCTCCATTGCTTGCTCAGCTTACGCAAATTTTAGTTCTGAGTGCCAAAAAAGATGGAAATAATATTTGAGAGTAGATGTTAGATAAAAGTTTCCGTGGAATGGGTCCTTTTTGGTGGACATCATTATACGACCTTAATACTGTTTATAACTTGTAATTATTTCAACTTTCAGGAGCTTATTCAAACCAAATTAATTTGAAGACAGGTTTTTGGGTATGTGAAACCCATGAACTGATATTTTTTGTTCAAGTCTTTCTAGTAAAACAAAAGCTGTCTCTCACTGTTTATATTTGTGTGCCAGTGGCATCTCTGGGTGAAAGGTGCATATATGCTTTTTGGTGTGATTGCCTTCTAAAGAGTAATTTTGAAAATATTGAGGGCTAATTTTTTTGATTAACATATAATAGTAGTATTTTGGGAGGAAAAGATAGTTGTTTGAGAATAGTTGGCAATTTCTTCACTTACAAGAAGGAACGATAATATAAAAAAGCCTTCTACCCACCTAAAGATGCCTGATTTAAATGAAAGACTTTAATAGTAAAGGTAGATGTATACTGTGAGAAGTCATTGTTACTAAAAAAAAAATCCTGAGGCCATTATTTTGTTATCCCATCAACAATTAGTGTTACATGTTCAAACCGGGAGAAATCTAAGTATGCACTTATAGACAAAGGCAAACATGGTTTTTTATGTTATTGACTAGCTAAAAAGAATCTTAAGATGTGATTAAGGTTTATATAAAAGCCAAGGCTGTTAGTATATAGTAGATTTTGTCATCTCGAGGCTCATAATTTGTTGATAGTTTAATTTGGTGTGCAGTTTTGTCTCAGGCTCAGTTCTATAGTCAGTGTTACATCTGTATAACTGGTATGGCATGTTTCAATCTACAGATTGAAAGGAGTAAATAATATCAACTTGTTTTGGCATTAACTATAGTGAACAATCTTTTATTATGTGACTTCAGCTTTGGTTTAGCTTGAGTATGATTCTTGGCTTTGTGCTTACCAAACATGTGCAGAATGTTGTTTGATAGCCAGATTTTTTTTTCAAAGTTCTTTACCTAGGTATGCTGTTTTCCACTGCTCTGCAAGTACTATAAATAAAATGCTGTCATTAGTCATTAAACTGCTTGCTTCTATTTAGATGAGATGAAAGGTCCTTGACCAAGATGACATTCTTCAATGAAATGGGTAATATGTTTGTACATTTCATTTTAAAGGCTGTTTGGCTCATTTCCATAGAATTGATTTGAATTTTGAGGACAAACAGGTGGGAGAAGCATGTTACAGAACATTATTTGTATCATATTTTTGTGGGATAGTTATTGTCCTCAGTTATAGATATAAACCAAAGACTAAGAAGGTAAAGTGACTTGACTACAGGGGCTAAAAGTGAGATTGCCAGGGCTTATGGAGTCAAAGCCTAATGTTTTGGTATTGTTTCACAGATCCACTTCTCTTTTCAGAGGTAGTGTTAATAATGAAAGATGTAGGTGAATTGGGAGCAAGTTAAATTGTGAAGTCAACATTTTGTAAAATGAAACTTTTTTTTTTTGAGACAAGGTCTTATTCTGTCACCCAGACTGGAGTGAAGTGGTACAAGCTCACTGCAACCTCCACCTCCCAGGTTCAAGCAATTTTCCTGCCTCAGCCTCCCTAGTAGCTGGGGTTACAGGCACCTGCCACTGTGCCTGGCTGAGATTTGTATTTTTAATAGAGACGGGGTTTCACCATGTTGGCCGGGCTGGTCTTGAACTCCTGACCTCAGGTGGTCCACTCGCCTCAGCCTCCCAAAGTGCTGAGATTACAGGCTTTAGCTACTGTGCCAGGCTGAAACATTATTTTTATTTTAGTTTCTTGAAAGCTTCCTATTCATGTCATGTACTGTTGTCCCACTTTGTCCTGGAAACAGTAATTATTACTCAGTTTAGGATGTAGCTGACAACATTTGCCCCTCAAATAAGATTGGCGAGATGAAAACCCAAGAGCATTTCTCTTGTATTCTCAGTATAAATCATGATCCAGAGATGGAGCTCTAAAGTATACTAATAAAGTATAACTGGCTTTTTATATTGTTCATTGCAGCTTATAAAATGCCTCTTCGGCTGGGCACAGTGGCTCATGCCTGTAATCCTAGCACTTTGGGAGGCCGAGGTGGGCAGATCATGAGGTCAAGATATCGAGACCATCCTGGCTAACACGGTGAAACCCAGTATCTACTAAAAATACAAAACAATTAGCCACAGGTGGTGGCATGTGCCTGTAGTCCTACCTACTTGGGAGGCTGAGGCAGGAGAATCACTTGAACCAGGGAGGCTGAGGTTCCAGTGAGCCGAGATCGCACCACTGCACTCCAGCCTTGGGGGACAGAGTGAGACTCCATCTCAAAAAAAAAAAAAAAAAAGCTTATTTTCATTCTCATAGCTTCAGTCAGTTGTCATGCATGTGTGTATTTGTTTCATGGTCTCCTAGGCAAAAAGCAGTACAGTTAGTTTGGGGTTGACTTCATGAGGTAACAGAAAAGGTGAACATTCCCACTCTTCAGATACACAGGTTCCCCACCCCTCACTGTGTTCTCCATTGGGCAGAATTCCATGTTTTCAAAAAATTGGCAATAGGACTAAGTTGAAGCTTGTGTACTTTAGAAAGAATGATGGACCCTTGAGGAGTATGTGGGATAACATTTGTACCAGACTGGTGTGGCCCTGTTTTATGGTGGCAGATATGTTCCCTGTTTCATTGTAAGTCAGGTCCGAGTTACCTGTGGGATATCCTTTGCTTAATTTGGAAGGGATAAGTTAGGAAAACCAAGAGGCTGGGTTTGGTGGAGTCTTTTATCAGGATGCTGAGGAGAGAGGCAAGGTTATATGTGACAGGGAGGCACTATTTACTCTTTATACTTTGACCCATTTCTCTTACTTCATTATCCTTGCCTGAAAAAGCTGTCAACCTCCATTCTCCTACACGAGCAGATTTGAGTTGGATGAGAACTATGAAGGGGGATGATTTTTGTTTTTGTGAGTGTTTTGTGTGTTTTTTTTAAGACGTAGCCCAGGCTGGAGTACAGTGGTATGATCTCAGCTCACTGCAACCTCTGCCTCCCAGGTTCAAGTGGTTCTCCCGCCTTAGAACTTCCCACG